CCCACAAGCTGCTGAGTTCCCGGTGACATTGCCAAAGGGGCCAGGGAGCTGGTCACTAGCTGCTTGTCCCCAGCCCAGCTGCAGGAGCTCCACAGGGCAGCCGCCACCCCAGGGTCAGTTGGGGGGGGCAGGGAGGGCAGCATGAGCCGTCCTCCCACACTCCCCACCAGGGTGGAGACCCGACACCTCCTGCCCAGGAGGAGGGAGTCCCAGGACAGTGTGATGCAGTGACCAGGGGGCAGCCTGGTGGAGTCAGCGCCCCAGCCCAACGCCAGCTTGTCCAGAGTTGGCGAAGGCGCTGGGCTTAGTTGGGGCTGAGGTGTCAGCACTCCATGGCCGACCTGCAGGGCACCAGAAGGGCTCTACACCCCTCTTGTCCCAGTCACCTTGGAGAGAACCTGGGGCATGTGGGTGACTAGGTCCCACTCCTGCCAGGCAGCCCACAGGGTGGCGCGGGCAGCATTTGACAAATGGCTTCCTGCCCTGCCCTGCCCTATGGGGACTCCCGGGGGAAGAGGCCGTTTGAGAACAGCTTGCAGGGGGCTGGGCCAGCTCTTAATCTAAACACGGCCAGGTGCTCACCCTGTTTTTATCAAAATATTATGAGCAGCTGTCAGCCCCGCTGCTTAGAAGCCAGACGCTGCCCCAAGGCCCAGCCCTCTTCGGCAGGAGCAAGCCTGTGTCCCCTCCAGGGGGTCTGGTCTCTGGCCCCCTCTCTCCCCTCCCCTCCCCAGGGGGCTGTGGCTACCCAGCGCTGCCCAGTGTGTGAGCAGCAGGTCAGGGCCTGGGAGCAGGCAGGGACACAGCACCATGAGGCCAGGGTGGCCGCAGGCAGACGCTGGGGCTGTGTCCACTGGGACATCAAGTCTCAGCAGAGTCTAGAGTGGGTCATGTGTCATATGTCCCTAACCCAGCCCAGGGGTGGGAGGGTGGGCATCAGCTGGGAATAGCTGGGCCTGCAGCAGCCTTGGGGAGCATGGCCCCCTTGGCAGCCTTACTGGTGGCAGCCTCAAAGTTCTGCCGAGAGCCCCAGGGGACCCTCCTGAGGAAGTGGGCTCCCAGCTGCCTGCTTGCTGGGCTACCTGGCACCTTTCGGGGAGGAGGTGGGACCCTCTTCCCCCTCTCTGGTCAGAAGTGTGCCCGGGGCACCGATCGTCACCCACCGGTCTGTCTGTATACCCTGCTACAGAGCCCACACCGCTTCCGTCCCAGGGCTGACTTGAGGTACTGAGGCCCCTTGACTGTCAGGTGCAGGATGCTGTGAGCAGCACTGGAGCGCCCACTTTTGAGGGTCTCACTCGGTGGGGCAGATGACCAGGGAACAGGATGGCCTGGTGGATTTGGGGCCTGAGTGGGACACAGGCATTATCTCCCATCTCCCAGTCTGGGCTGGTGACACTGGCCCATGGTTCTCCAGTACTAGGAGCTCAGGGACCAGGCATGGGGGACCCAAGAAGACGGAGGGCCTCTTACAAGGGAGACTGGTCCAGAGAGGGCCATGAGGGTGAGGCCAGACCTGAGCCCCAGGCCCCTGTCCTGCCTCTCTGCCCATCCCCGGCTGCGGGGCCACACAGGCTCCTGAGCGGCTGGCTGACCAGACAGCCCCAGTGAGCAGGACAGAGGCTGTTCCTGCCTCTGCCGCCACCAGGGCCAGGGCCGTAATCAGGGACTTGAGGCCACCGAGGATGTCCCAGACCTCACAGTCAGGTCAGGATGGACAGAGGGCCAGGCAGTAGAAGTAGAATGAACGGTGCTCAGATGAGGCAGTGCAGCGTGGCGAGCAAAGCGGGCACCTAACCATGAGGCCAGGGTGGGAAGGCTTCCTGGAGGAGGTGGCTTGTTCTCTAGGGACCGTCCCAGATGCCCAGTCATTGGGGCCGGGCAACAGATGCTGAGTTTGACTCACGGGCAGGTGTCCCAACCGGGAGGCAAGGAGTGCTGTTCCCCAGGAGCTGCCTGTCCCCTTCCACGACGGCTGCCGTCCACACTAGCCAAGTGCCACGGCTCAGTCCCACGAGAACCACAGGCCACCTGAGGGCCCTCACTGGCCTGCCTCCTGGCCCTCATGGTGGGATTGGGGTGAGGGCATGAGAACCATGCAAGAAAGAGTTGGCACCTCAGGGTGCTCCTGGATGATGAGGTGCCACCTGGCTGAGAGATCGTCAGCAGGGCCTGTGGTCTCCCATGAGCAGTGTGGGCCAAAGCTGCTATGCTCACTCTGCCTGGCCCCCAGGCTGGCCCTCGACTCAGGCCAAGGGCACAGGGCCCGGACCACTGTTCGTGGGGTCTCCCTGCTGGAGGGGCCGGGCCAGAGCCCTGTGTGCCCCGGCCTGGACTCAGCAAGGAAAGCTGCCATTCCTGGGCATGCAGCACCTTCCAAGACCCAACTCACTTCCATCAAGTCAGTGCTGACCCAGCGGGACCCTTTGGGCAGGGTAGACCTGCCTGTGGGTTTCCAAGACTATGGGAGTAGAAAGCCCTGGAAGCAACTGATGGTTTCAAACTGCAGACCTTGCGATTAGCAGCCCAGTGTGTAACCACTAAACCGTGCCCTAGCTAGCCACTTGCAAAGAGTAGACCCCAGGCCTGGTAGACAGACCTTTCTGAGGGCTGCCGCCAACCCCCACCCCCACCCCACACTCAACCAAGTGGCCCCCCCTCCCAGGACAGCCACTCCACTCGGAGGTCTCTTGTCTGCCACATCTGGACAGTGGAGGAGGAGGTGGGGCTGCAGGAATAGTAGGAGCCCCACAGGCACGTGGTTCCAGCCAGGCCCAGGCTCAGGCCTCATACATCGTGGCCCCACGGGTGCCTGGATCCCCAGTCACTCCCAGTGCAGGCGTCCGGGCTGGGGCTGTACTCACTGTCCAGCGGCACACCCTGTACCCGCTGGCCAACCTCCAGCCCGTGGGTGAACGCCCTCTGCTCTTTCCTCCAACTGCGTCAGCACTGCCCTCTGCCCCTCTTATGCCCACGCCAGCCCACCCTTGACACTACCATCCATGTCTTGCCAGGGCCAGCCCATCCCCATGCCAGTCTACCCCGGGAACCCCCTTTTCATGCCCAGGGCCAATGTACCCCCGTGTATGTCTAGTGTTCACCTCCAGCATGTCCCCCTATCATGCCCCATGTATGCCTAGTGTCCACCTCCAGCATGCCCCCATATCATGCCCAGAGCTGTGCTCTCCCCAGCCCCCTATGCTATGCCAACTCTCCCTTAGCACCTCCCATGTCATTCCCAAGGCCATTCTGCCCTCATATTCCTCAGTGCCCATGGCAGGACCACAAGCACCAACACCAATCCTCTCCGCTGCCAGGGCCGTGTGGCTGGTCTACCACAGCGACCACGGACACCCCATGGTGCTGTGTGTGCGCAGACAGAGGGGCAGGAGGATGGGCACCCTGGGCAGCACCTCTGACACTGTGAAGGGGGTCAGCGACACTCACAGGGCCTGTCTCCAGAGGGAGGGGGAGTAATAAGGCCAGCGAGCCCTGAGGGGGGCTTTGCTCATCTTGGTGGGCTAAACCCTGGCCCTCCCTCTCCAAGCCCAAGGCTATCAGGGTGGCATGCGGTGCTGTCTCGGAAACTCGCCCTGGAGGGTGAGAGGGCAGGCAGCTGAATGGGGTCTTGAGGGAGTACAGGAGTTTGCAGATGGGCCAGGACTGCAGAGGGTGGGGGTGGGGATTGGCAGGGGGGCAAGGAAAGAGGAGAGGGGACTGGGGGTGCAGCTAGACGTAGACAGGGACTCCATTTTGGCTCTGGGGGTGACCTTGGTCATGATAATTAGGGTACAGCGTGCCCCTAGGCTCTAGCATTCCCAGGGTGTCCCCCAGGACTGAGTCCGGAGCAAAGATGAGCCCACTGGTCTCCCCCCCAAAACCCGACGTTAGTCTGAGTGTCTCTCAGAGATGAGGCCTGGGTGCCTGACTGCACAAGGGCCTGTGTTGGGGGAGAGGCCCTGACAGCCCTTCCTTCCGGAAGCTTCCCTGAAGGGCCCTCAGCCCCCTGGCCCTTTTCTCTCCCGGGAGGGCAAAGGGCAGGGTGGGCAAAGCTGATTGGCTCAGAGCCCAGGGGCGGTGACAGGTGGCCTTTCAGTCACGCCCCATTTAAAGCTGAGTGGCTCTGAGAGCAGGACATGCCCCACCTCACAGGTGGGGCACCGAGACCCCAGAAGCCGGGAGGCCTGCTCAGGCCACGTGGCAGTGGGTCTGGGCAGGGGAGGGGCTATGTCCCTACGGCAGGTGAACCCGTGGGATGCAGGAAACTGGGGGTCTACCCCCAAGGAACAGAGGGCAGGGGCCCATCCCACCCACCTTGCTCCCCTTCCTCCTTGTCCTCTGTCTCCCCACCCTCACTCTGCATCTGTCTGGGGCCCACTGCTGTTTTCATGACCTGCCTCTAGCCCTGTCGCCGTCCCTGCCACGTCCCCACCCCCCGGAGACCACAGGCAGGCCTCCCTGCTCCGCGTGTCGGCCCCCATATCCAACCGAACCAAACCCACTGCCATCAAGTCAACTCCGACCCATGATGACCCTGTGGGGTTTCTGAGGCTGTAAACCAAGCTGGCTGCTGGGTTTGAACCGGCAACCCTGCTGTGAGCAACCTAGCGCTCCACCCACTGTGTCACAAAGGCCCGCTCACCTCTGGAAACATTTGTCACTCCAGGGAGGCTGGGGGCCTCTGTCCACCTTGAATCCAAGCTGGAAGGGACTTGTGGGGCGGGTGGCTCTGGCCAGCCCTTTGGGTGGGAAGACCTCCTGCTGGGGAAGTGCAGCAGGGCTGGCTGGGCCCTTGTCCCTGGCACTGGACCTGGCAAAAGGGGCTCCAGGGGGAGGGGCAGTGTGTGTATGTGGAGTGAGGAGGGCAGGGGGCCGGTCTGGGGAGGGCCCTGGGTGTCCTGCGGGGCCCGCCTGTGCAGGTGCTGGCAGGGCCACTGGGCTGAGCAGGCAGGGGGGTCCACCTGGGGGGTAGCCCTAACCAGCTCCCATCTTCCCTGCAGGCCCAGTGATGAGAACCACCCCGAAGTGCGGGCCGACGGCTATGTGGCCAACCTGGCAGAGGCTGTGGACCTGCTGCTGCAGCACGCTCAGCCCTGAGCCCCCGCCCAGCGGACAGCCTGCCCCCCAGCACAGGCTGCTACTGCCCTAGGCACCTGTTCCACACCTGAGCTGCCCCCCGAGATGGCAGAGGATGGAGGCACACCCCAGACTTCAGTCTTAAGACCCTTGCCGACCCCCCCTGGTCAGGCCCTCCAAACAACCTGGCCCAGTGACTTAGGAGCACCCCTGGGGGCTGCTGGGAGACCCACCCACCAGAAGGTAGCCCCACCCCCACAAGTGAGTACCTCTCTCTGCTCTCCCGTCCACCCCTCTGTCCCCTGCCCCCCCACCCCATACCCCCAGTGAGACCCAGCTCTCAGCCCGACCCCCAACCCCAGCCCCTCATCTCCAGACCCAGCCTCCCAGGGGTGCCTTGTGACCAGTGGATGCCCAGCAGGAGACTCCTGGCTCAATAAACATCACCTCTCCACAGCACTGACTTGGCCGTGGACTATCCGGAAAGGCCGTTTTGGGGGTATGGTGGGTGAGGCCCAGGCACCCCCCTTTTTCCTCCATGTGCCAGAACCCCCAGATGTCTCCAGCCCCTTGCGTAGCAGAAGTGGGCCCTCAATTCCTGGAGGCCCCGCTGTGGGAGTGGTGTCAGTGATTCTGGGCCCCCCATCGTCCCGTGGCCTTGGGAGTCAACGGAGGCCAAAAGATCCTTGTCCATGGGGGCCCCTCACTCACGTGGCCCTCGAGAGGAAACACCCCAACAGATGGGGGCACCCCCCCTGGGCGAGAGCTCCGCCCGGCAGCATTCAGTTTCTTCCCTGGCCTTGTGGCCCGAGCTGGCTGCCGGCTGGTGTGGGCAACACTCCTGGGCGGCCCATCGGGGCCCCCACACCTGCCTTGCCCAAGGAGCTGTGTGTGGACATGTGGGTCTGGTTTCTTTCGAATGTCATCTTTTTATTTAAATTTCCTTTCGGCATACAAATGCACACAATGTTCCTGCTACAAAAACTTGGAAAGTAAGGCTTTCTGAGAACGGACATCCGGCTGTGTCAGCCCCACTCCTTGGGCCCTGACATCAGCATGGCCCGTGGGCTTGGGGCCAGAGTAAGGCAAGAGGGTCTGAGTGGGCGCCCTGAGCCCGGTCAACCCAGCTCTTTGGGGTGCGTGGGGAAAGCTCCTCCTTTCAGCCCCTCCCAGGCACCAGCTGAGGCAAGCAGCTGTGCCCAGAGGACAAGCAGGTGTCAGGGAGCCACGGGACCAGAGCCCGGGCACCCAGGGGATGGTCCTTCTGGGGGGTGGCAGCTCTTTCCAGAAAGGTCTGACCCCATGGAGCCACCAGGAAACCAGGTTTGGCCATTCCCCTGACCACCAACAGAGCTGAGTGTGCTTCTGCCCAGGGCGGCCTGGACTCAGGGCCTCCACCCTCACCCCAAGAAAAGGCCAGCATGGTGGCTCTGGTCGCCTGTGGTGTAGGGTGGGAGTGTAGGGTCTGCTTCTAGGGCCCCCCAATACAGGGTGGGTACCACCATACACCTGGGCCTCCAGGCCCACCCTCCCCTCCCCCACACCTCCTCTGGTCTTGTTCCAAGCACAGCGGGTGACCAGGGAGATGTCCCCTGGATCTTGTGTGGCTGTTGGTGGCAGCCCTGGTGAAACTGGAATTAGGACTTCCCAACCATGCCCAGCACCAGCCCAGGCCTCTCTGAGCTGCCAGACTGGGGCTTTTCTCCAACTATAGCTGGTTCCGAAGAAAAGGCATCAAGCCCCCTCCTCCATGGAGCCAAGGCATAGACGGCCAGCATGTCTCCAGAGGGGATTTAGAAGAGGTGTGTCTTCAGCCTGTGGAGGGAGAGGCCCGGCCCTGCAGAGGGGCCCGAGTCTGATCACCCACCTTGAGGGGACACGCTTAACACTACTGTCTGTGGAGAGGTCCAGATGGCATCAGGCCAGCTCCCCGTGCAGCAGAGTATGTGGAGGGGCCCTGGGGTGTGTGTGGGGGGCAGGCTGGGCCACATGGGCCCCTCCAGGGGGCCGAGGACTGGGCTGCAGCCGGGAGGCAGCCCTTGGGGAAAAGCTGCTCGAAGGTTAGGCGGCTGCTCTTGAGTTGGGGAGACATTGGGATTAAGCCTGAGAACCAAAGAGAATGTGCTTCGAAAACTGGGGGTGGGAAGAGGGAAGCCCTCCTGTCCTGGGCACTTGCTCGCAGTGGCTCCTGCCGCCTGAGGGGGTGCCTAGTCCCTGGGGAAGGACTATCACCTGCCAACCCCACCCAAGTCCGAAGCATTGACACCAGGTAGAGGGCTTCTAGCAGGCCCCCTGGGTCTCTGCCCCCACCACCACCTGGGAATTAAGGCCAAATGGTTCTGGTGGTCCTTCCGAGGAAGCAACTCCCTGGTTGCCCCGAGCCACATGTGGCGGGGATACCTGGGACAGAAGGCACAGGATGAAGCGGAGTGAGACCTGAGCAGGGGCCGAGCAGCCCCGGGCGCGGGCATGGCCACGGTGGGGGCGCCAAGGTGGCCAACGGAGGAGGGTGAAGGACCCAAGCCCGGAGTGCTGGCGGCTACAGTAGTCACATGGCCCCCAGCCCATGGTGCAGCCGGGTGGCTGGCTGGAGCTGGTCAGTGCACACAGGAGCAGGAGGGAGGCCCTCTCTAGACGGGGGTGAGGCTGGGGGGTGGGGGGGCGCAACTCCTTGCCCCATGCCGTTCAAGGAGGCACCCACCTGGCACAGAGATAAAGCCCCACCCTGAGTGGTCACCCGCTATCTGGAGGGGGTGTGGATTCTGAGGGCTCCCCCTGCCCCCATGTGGCAGGGCCCTCAGCCCTCAGTTGTTCTCTATCTGCTCAATGTCTAACTCGCCGTCCAGGGAGCAGAGGCCACTGCCTGCCACCCCACAGTCCCGCCAGGCCAAGCCTGGATCCTCCCTTTGGCCAGCGTCCATGTCCAGGGTGTAGCTGCCGTCCGCCTGCTCACAGGACAGCTCCTCTTTGCTGGCAAGATGGTCATCAAAGGATCTGGGCAGCAGCTCCAGGACCGGGGTCCCAGCCGGGGTCCTGCCCCCAACGGTGGTGGTGGAAGCTGAGAGCAAGGTGCTCCACGTGTGGGTGCTGCCAGCGTGGAGGGCGAAGGGGCTCGGGGGACTGCAGTCCTCTGTGCCGGTGCTCAGGCAGCTAAGGCTGCTGAAGGCCTGACAGTTCTGGGAGAGAAGCAGAGGGGCGACTGAGGGCCAGGGTCTCCCAGAGTCCCCCAGCCCCAGCCCCTCCCTTGTGGAGAAACAGGCCCGTCTGAGGATCCCTCACACCCCCGTGCTCCTAAAGATACGCCAACAGCCAGACCTCGCCACAGCTGCCCTGGCGAGGGGCCCAAGGGCCAGCCGGCCCACCCCCGGGCAGGTGGGCTGGAGGCTGCATTGACACAAGCAAGGGTGCAAACCCAGCTCCTGGGCCCAGCATTCCCACTTCTTGGAACTTGACCTTGATGAGGTAATCACTCAGGACCCATGCAGTCAGTGGCGGGGGATTTCCTGGTCACTCACTGTCCAATGAGAGGGAAGGGAGGCACCCAGACAGCCTGTGATACCTGTTACGGCGGGGCCATCGCCGTTACCAAGTTGCCCTGGTGGTGTGGTGGTTAAGCACTCGGCTGCAAACCCTGCAGTACCGGTTACAGCAGTAATCTGTGTGTGGGGTGGGGGAGGGCGGGAATGACACTGTTCTGTTACTGAGGCGCAGGTGCCCTGGCTGCTGACCGTACTGTCCAGTTGCTAAGGTGCCTTGGTGGCATGGTTGTTGAGCATTAGCTGCTAATCCTACAATGCCGGTAACAGGGCGATCTGCAGAGGGGTACTGTCCAGTTACTGCTCAGGTGCCCTGGTCCTGCCGGGGCCTCACACACGCAGTGGCGAGTGCCAAGCCCGGCTTCAGCACGGAGGGTGGCATATTGGGATTTCCAGCAAGGCGCCGCTGCAGCGTCTGAGCTAGATGCTGCTGGGTGGAATGAATGGACGCAGCTAGAGACCACGGGCTGTAGGACTGTTAGTGAAATTAGAGCAGGACATGAACGGGGTGGGGTGTTTAAGGGGGGGCTGTGGGTAGGAGCAGCTGTGGACGGATGTGGGTTTCACTGGGGGGAGGGGAAAGTGTCTTCAAGCGGACTGTGGAAATGGTTTCACAGCTGCATGAACAGACTGCACACCCTGCCTCACTGCGTCGTGTGTGTATGTGTGTTATGTGCGCATGCAAGCATGGGGGGGGCACTCTGCCTCACCCACGTTCAGTGTGTGTGTGTGTGTCTGTGGGGGCAGGGATACTAGGGCATGCCACCCTTTGTAGAGGTAGAAAAGGGAATCGAAACTCCCCTTAGCCTAAATTTGCATGAAGAAACCCCAGAAGGGTTTTGAGAAACAAACACAGTGGCTCTCATGTGGGATGAGAAGGGACCCGTGCGTGGCATTCTCCATGGAGCCATGCAAACGTGTGGCAGGGTGTGTGTGTGTGTGTGCGCGCGCGCGCGCGCGCACACTCATGCATGCACGTGCTGCCCCTGGGCCCCTTTACAATCCAACAGCGAGACCTGCGGCCCAACAAGAGCACACGGCACCAACTAGACAACTCGATGGTGGAAGGCTGCCTCGGCAGCGCAAGGCCCCACCAGCGTGCCAGGGCTGCCGCAGTACACTGTCCTGAGCTCGTCTACAAGCGAGCCCACCCAGCTGCACCCGGTGGCTGGGGGCTATGGAATCAAGAGCAGATGAATTTGCAGACACGGACTTCATGGATGGTGACGATCAACCCTACTATGGCCCCCGGATTGGGCGCTTAGCTGGGCCAGCGCTGCACCAGGCCCTGACCACAAAGCCAGGGAAGTGTGCCCTGCCACTCTGATGAGAAACAGAGGCCCCTGCCATGTCACCCAGCTGGTGGGAGGCAAGTTCGAGGCTATTCTCCGGCCAAATCAAGTGGCACAGGTGCAGACAGTACGTGTATACACATGCCCAGGCACACATGTGCACACCTGTACATAGGGATTCAACCACTCCTACATTGTGTACCTCTGTACACACACGTATGAGCATATGCACGCACACCAGTGTGTACATGCTCACATAAGCACCTGGGAGTGTAACATGCACACACAGGCACCGTGTGCACCTACATGTTCCCACGAACACAGCCAGGCACCCTTGTACACAGCACACACCCTGCACACTGGGCCCAGTGTGAGTGGGCGGGCCAGGCTGGAGGGACAGTCCTGTGAGGCTGTCCTTGAGGAACAAGCAGAGCCAGTAGGGCCAGCAGAAATGCTTCACCACCAGGAGAACCATCTGGATGCCTGGGCACGGCCAGAAGGGAGGAGTGCCTACCCTGCGGGCTCTGCCGTGCCCTCAGTCAGAGGGCCAGCGGGGCAGGAGAGCGAAGGAGTCAGCCAGACACTGAGTGGCCTGTGTCGATGTGCCACTCCTCTCTGGGCCTCAGTTCGCTGAGATACATGAAGACAGCATCGGGCTAAAGGGCCTGTGAGCCTCTAGCCTTCTGCAACTACCTCAGAATTGGGAGCAAGAAAACCAGCCTACCTAGGTGCACGTTTTCACGTCCTCCCAGAGGAAGGAGAGGGAGGGTGGGTGGGGCTGCCAAAGCAAGCTCTTGCCTGCTGCTGAGAGAGTGGAAAGATGAGTCCACCCAGAGGCGTATTGAAGGACCGCCGGGAGACCGCTGAAGGCCGTCTAGTGGTCATCGGACACCTGTCAGGAGGCCAGGAGTTAACCCTATGGTGGCCTCAACCTGTTGCCTCAGCCGGACCCAGGCAGCACACCTACCCTTGTTCTTGGGTGTTATCCACGTGGCCTCCTCTGACCACCGTGTAGCCACAAGGGTGGGGCCTGAGGATGGGCTGCTTGGGCCAGCCCCGAGTCCACATGAGTCCGTAGTTGCTTTCCCAACGTGCTAAAGTTTGCAGCACTCTGGACAGGTCTGTCCTAATGCACCTCCCGGGCTGGCTTCAGCCACTCCGTCGCCTCGCCAAGTGGGAGAGCCCCAGGAGCCCCTGGCAGTGGGTGTGCATGCTCCCTCTCCGAGGGATTCCACTTGACCTGGGGCTCCTTCAGACCCTAGGAAGCCAATACAGGCTGGCATGGCACAGCCCACACATTCTTGGTTGTCATAATGCCCCCAGAAGGCAGGCCACGCTGTCCCTGTTGAGGGGTGGTGTGGTGTGGTATGTGTGTGTTGGGGAGGCACCTGTTGAGCTAGGCAGCTGTTGGCACCAAGACAAAGCCTTGTTCATTTGCCTTAGTTTCTGCTTCTGCTGAGACAGAGGCTTCTCGCAGAGCCTCTGGCGTGACCACGGTCAGCCTGCTTCCAGAGGCCAGGGTTCCAGCGGCCGGACTCAGCCCCAAGTTCCACTTCCCCCGGATGTGAAGGCTGGCGGCGTGAGGTGCTGCCCAGTGGACCTGGGTCTGTGGAATGCAGGACAGGAGCCCACAAGCAGGGAGGGGCTCAAGCTGGGCTACCCCCTCACCCCTTCCCCATGTTCTCAGACCACACCCTCATAGAACAGGGCCATGCGGTACAGCATCAGCAGGCAGGGCTGGTGACCTTGTCCTGTGCTGTGGTCACAACAGGCACACACGTGGTCACCTCTTCCAGGTCCGCAGTGATCCCAGCTTCCTGAGTGCTGGTGGGTGCCAGGCCCCTCACGTGGCCACTGCTGTGACTGGGACGAGGGCCTGAACGGTCACGGCTGTAGGTCAGGCTGGTCTGTTTGCAGGGCCTCAGGCCACACCTGTGAGACACCCACTGTCCTATGCTCTGTGGATCAGGGCTCAATAAACAGGCTCCTGGCCTGCAGGGGACACGGTGGGGAGTGCCCAGGACAGCAGGGCACGCCTCACACAGTGAGAGGCGGAGAAGAGCCCTTCCAACCTGAGTGACCCCGTCCTGTGGGGAATGGCCCCTCTCCCGCCCGGCCTTCAGACTATCCAGCCCCCCACTCAGCAATGGCAGTGATGGCTACTAGACGTCTCCACCAGCACGGGGACGGCAGGGGTGAGCCACAGGAAAGGTGCTTCCAGCCATGGGTCTTGTTATGCTCACAGCTCGGCCCTGGACCAAAGTGACCACACAGGGGAGCGTGGGGGAGTCTGTGGAGGGGCCCTGGGCTCTGGGGGTGGTCAGGAGCCGGATGCTGGACCATTCTTCTGTTGCCATAGTGACATAGATAGGAAGGAGAAGGCGCTCTGGGGATGGAAGCCAGGCTCCCCTGGGTCTGCAGGTGCCATGATGTTGCTCTGGCAACGTGTATTTTCCACAAGGGGACTCCACTGGGTCCCTCTGGCCCTTGGCCCCTCCCTCCCTGGCCCAGGCAGTGCCACACCAGCCACATGGACATGAAGGACCTCTAGGAGCAGGGTGGGAAGCCCAGGGGGCGGTCTGTGCAGGGGAGTGGCTTCCAGCTGGGCGACTTGGGGTGGCTGCAGGTGGTGCAGCCTCCAGTTTCTCTTCCTTATCGTGTCACTGCCAGGCCGGGGCCCTGGACTGTAGCAGCCCCCTCGCAGAGGCAGGTGGCCCTGCTGGGGCGGGTCTAGGATCCAGGCAGCGAGAGGTCACCCCAGGGCACCGGCTTCTCTTTAAACACCAGATGGGAGAAGTGGCACAGGCTCAGATCCCAGAACAGGGCAGCTCCCGAGGCCAGAGCACACACAGGACGTGTGAGGGGATGGCAGTGTGGGACATGAGTGTCAATTCCCAGGACCACTGCCCGTCCCTAGTCCTGGTCCTGCCACTCCAGGTGACCATTCCTCTCTGCCTGCTCACACTGGGGCAGGGGAGCACTCTGGGGGGCAAGGCGTCCCCTCCCCATGGCGTCCAGATGGCAGGTCCCGGAGAATAGATCTGTCTGGGCTGGGGGTTCATGGACTGGTCTCACACCCAGGCTTCATGCTCTGTGGCCCTCAGTGCAGCCGGTCCCCAGGAAGATGTGGACAGAACGCAGGCCTCTCACGGGGCCCACAGGGACTGAGGAGGACACCCGACTCCACCCTACATCAACAGGCACCTGGGCCCTAGGCAGTGGCCGTCCGGGTGTCCACTCGACCCTGTCGCAAGGGGAGCACTTCCTGAGTGGACACAGTGGGCTCCACTGTCACTGCATTTAGCCCGAGTGTCAGATTTCTCGAAGAATCAAATTTTAGCCTCTTTA